AGAGTCAGCGGACATCCCTAATGCAGGGGCCGTGTCAAAGAAACTTGGTCTGACACAAACCCATTTAACATGATTGTCGATGTTGCCATTGAGTACATAATGGCTATCCAGCGGGAAAAATTACCAAACCCCATGTGTTTGAGGGTTGTCATTGCGAAGACTCGCCCAACTTTGTCGTACCCTTTCTCCATATCGAGAAGGAGTATAACAACATCATGATTTTCCTTTTATATTATTTTCAGGGCTTGGATAGTTGCTGCGATGTTCTCTGTGATGAATCTGTGTTTAAAAAAGGCCCGTGTGCTTTCTTGGTGAGTTCCGGTAAGTATCTAGCCAACCGAATTGCCAAGGTCTTTACCAAGATTTTGTAAGATACGTTCAAGAGCGATATCGGCCGCCAGTTCCGCACTTCGTTTTTATCACCTTTTTTATAGGGTAACGATGATTCCTTTGGTCATTGAGGTTGTTAAGTTCCCCCCTGTTAGCACATTGTTATAGATGCCCAGAAGGTATGAAACAATCTGGGTTTCAACAACCAAATATAGTTCTACCGGAAGTCCGTCATCTCCAGGACATTTACCCTTTGCCATACATTTGGTTGCTACTAATAGTTCCTCTTCGGTCATAGGCCTGTCGAGGTCAATCCTCGCCTGTTGGGTTACTCTTTCCTGTGTCAATTCCAAAAAACTTGAATTTCCCCCCAGGTCGGTGTCCATCGAGTTGAGAGGTTGTCTTGTGCTAAATATGTCCTGAAAATACATTTTGGCGTATTCTCTCATCAGGTGGACGTCATCGGTCACTATTAACTGTGTAGAAAAAGGGTAAGCTAGTTCTTTCATCGGTTGTCTAGCTTGTTGTAGAATCAACCTTCTGAATATTTCCTTGTTCATCCTATCCCCCGTGATTATCTTGCATTGCTCTAACCATCTACTTCATCGTTTTTGCCTGTGTATTTCTCTATATTCTAGTTATAGCAATTTTCATTTTCGGAAGGCCGACCAATCAGCATTAGAGACCGGGTGTTTCCCCATTTCTGATTTCGCTTTTTCAATTTGCTCCTTCATAATTTTATCTTTGGTTTTAATTGTTATTGCTTCGATCTGATAAATTAATTTCACCCCCCCCTGCAACGTTCTACATCCCACCTCAATCCATTTTTCGTCCTTTTCAAACAGGGGTTTGCCCTTTTGCCAGTCCTCCAGGTGCCTGTTGATCCAATCGACGAGCCCCTTGTTCCGCAAATGTAAAATATTCAATTTGAAATAAAAGAAATCGTACTTCGTCTCCTGGGACAGTTGGAACTCAACTGTTACCAGTAAGTGGTCCAACAAAGAGGACTGTTTTACTGCTACTTGGACACATCCTTGCCACGGGTTCCCTTTTGTCAGGAATAAATCTAAGCGTCTGCGGGTGTGGGGCGGGTGCGAGCCGAACCATGTGTAACCATGGGCTTCTAGGTGTATTGTTCTGTACGGGTCGCACAAGCCTTGAGAGGTTATAAAAGCCTGAAGAAGTTTGTGTCAGTTCCGATAGGTCCCGACTTCGAGTTGTCGAATCTTGGGTTTAGTACTGTGTTTCAAACTGCTGCCAATACAAGGTTTTTCGCTTTCGGGATCAAACTTGGCAAGTCGGTTATGAATCATATTCTTTTGCTGTAGTCTACGGGGAGATACAAGGACATGATTACCCAATCAGCTGTCCCCAAAGCCAGTTTTACCCACACCCACCGTCTCACATATCCAATATGTTATCTATCATCTGGGTATCTAGGTCTTTGTGGATTAAAATTCTTGTTTCTTCTCGAGTGTCAAAAGGATCAGATTCACTGTTTGTCGGAGCCCAATATTGTGGTCCTGACCACCATTTTTTAGTTTCCTCTATCCTTTGTTCGTCCAGTTTAGATTCTTGTATGCAAGCGATTTGAGTTTTATTCTCATGCAAGTAGGTTTTCATTCTAACTCGTATGTATTTATCGTTGGAGTTGTACAATCCCCTAACATTCCAGGATACTATGCGTAAAACGCTCGCCGGAAGCTTCTACCCTAGACTCAAGATCTGTTTAGTTTGATCCCAGAGTTGTCTGCCTGTTTGCGGCGCCTTGTCCCGTCGCCTGCCTTCAAGTTCTGCTGATTTTTCCAAGGAGTTTTTAGCAACTCCAAGAAGTCCTCCGTGAATATGAATTCCTCATGAGGGACATTTTCCAACCATTCCGCGATTACTCTTGCAGTTATCGAACTCTTCAAAAAGATCAGATCCAGTTTTGTGTTCCTTACTAACTCCAGAACTGTCAGTGGGAACCAATCTTTGTCCATTGCCTTTAGCTATTTTTTTACCTCATTATTCATTTTAGCGTCCAAAAATACAAAGTAGAGGCGAACTTTTACCCCATTCGGGTCTTTGGCAGTATGGCAACCTACTCGCAGGTTTGGGATGACTCTTACCTGCAGGAAGTTTCAAATCAAATTTTTAACGTTATTGAGAATAATCATTTCTGTCAAAGTTGCGTCCGTTTTTATCGAGGGCAGTTCCATCACCTCACTAGCCATAACATTAGCCAATACCATCACTCCTTTTTTTAAGTTAACATAGATAATCGGTATGAGGATTCTTGGAATATTCATTTATGTTCATTCCAGAGGCACCACAGACTCCGTCATACTCAGTCCCCTGGCTATTGGAATTTTACGGGGGGTCCCCTCTTGCCCCTCTTCCTCGCCTTGTGTAATCCGTTTCTCAAATGCTAACTTTTCCTCTTCCATGTAGAAAGTTTGATCATCCTCATCCACCGAGTTTGTTCATTTTCCTATTCCTCCTTCTAATAGTGCCGCCACCGCTTTGTCTTCCATCTCTTTCATTGGTGTCCCTTTTTTCACTCCCTCTAGTCGTTCTCCTTTTCCGACCGTGTTGCTCTTCACTTGCTGTTTTTTTCCTGTCCATTTTCTCTCAAGTTGTAACCTTTTGATCAATTTTTCCTCGTGTGACCCTTTCCTTTATTATTATCTTTTAGTTCTCTTCCGCACTTTTCCCTTTTTCCTCTTGCGGTCGGGTTGCTTTTGACTCTTCGGTTGACTGGGCTTCTCCTTTTTCTTGCGAGAGGAGGACTCTCCCATTTGTTTCCCTTCTTTCGATAACCCGGTTGACAACCTTCGAAAACCATTTTTTTGGTGGTTCTTCACCACAAGGCACGAAGCCAGAGAAAGGTGGTTCTGGAGGGGGCTGCCTCGGGCCTGTATTCTGGAATGAATCAACCTCCCGAGATGGGCACGTGTCGCAATAAAGCATACGACACGTGTCGCACCATGGGTTTTCAATTGAGATTACTTCAAAATAGTAATCCCCTTGGTTGGGAATACCTACCACCAATCGGGGCTTGATCTATGTTCGGGCGTTATAATCCAGGTCAAACCGTACAGAGCCCAATTCTGGCTCATCTTCGTATTCCTCAGTTGGATGGGATTTCATCACGGGTCCAAAGGTTTTCTCGATAACCACTCTGAGAGTAGACATCAATTGGAGAGGTACTCGTGGGCAACGTACCCAACAAAATTTTATGCCCACCTCCTTGAAAACTCTCATCTCTGTCAGTGTCATCCACGGATAAAAACGGACTACGTATTCTTTATCCTCACATTCCACACTGTCTGATTCCTTGGTCAGCATCCATTGAATAATCCTTGGTTTCGACAAAACAAAAGAGTACAGGTTTTTACCTTCACTTTGATATCGCCCTCTTTTCGTTGCTTCGTCTAACAGCCCATAATCATACCATCCATTTTCATAAATCCGTACAAGTTTCTTCTTCAAAGAATTAAAGAGTGCCTTAGTTTCGTTAGGAAAGATGACGGTAACTGCATGCTCTTTCAACCATTTCACGTTAAATTCCGAAAAGTCTCATTCAAGTCAAATCGTGCAAAATCTTCATCCAGCTTTGCAACTCCTATTTCGAGACCGGCCGGAAAGATGCCGTCCTTGAAACTAGAGTCTAGCAGAGTGTTGATCTAGGCTTTTTCCTCCAGGGAGTATTTATTTCATGTTTGACCTGAAGGGTATTGAGTTGATTCCATTATCAGCGAAGTAGATTAGTAGAGGCTTCTATAATAGGATAATACTATATCTCTACGCAGCAGCAAATCTTCAACCTCAGGACCGAGAGATCAGATTTACCATTCGCCAATCTTCACAGACGCGTAATCCCCAACGCTGGGGTTTCTTCTAGGTCATCTTCAGCTTCTTCAGACTTCTCTTTCGTAGTCTGTCAACAGTTTCGTAAGGGCAAGAGAGGGATCTCCAGGCCGCTACCGGGCGCATCTGCCCAACCCCCGAGGGGTTGTTGCTTGCTCTGCGTGAGCAACAGCATTCCGAATCCCTACCACCATAGCTTAGCCGTGGTGGGTAAGTGGCGCGAGGACAAAACCTCGAAAGTGTCGACAAGAAACCGGTCTTCGTGACAGCCGCAGAGAGTTGCGCAGCACGCGCTACCGCGCCGGCGCCTGGAGCCCCCCGATGCCCTACATTCTCAATTTTTGCACATTTGGTGAGTAGTATGGCATATCAGTATTTCTGTATTGGAGACAGGGTTTTGTAGGATCTCAGTCTGGTGACTGTAAGCTAAACTGGCCGATGCTGCCAGGAGAAAAGAAAAAGGCCGAGAAAGGTATTGTCAACCACTTTCCCTTTTCTCTAAAAGAGGCGTATGGGCCTAACTCAGTTGGTATGCCCATGAACCGTTGAAATACAGACCCGAGTTCGAATCTAGATACAATCAGATGACCAGAATAAAATCATTCTGACTTACTTGGGGCCGGTCAGTCGCACTCGGATACAACGCGTTTCTCCTTCGCACTCGGGCCCGAGGCCGTCGTCAAAAAAAAGAGGCCTTTTTCCGTCGAACTCGGATACAACGCCTGGGCCTCATGCTCGCGGGAGGAGGTACCGTTGAAGGCCGGCCTTCCGTGGGTCTGCAAGCCTGAAGTGCCGACGGAGACCACGAAAGAATCCACATGCGGCCCCTGGTTGAGTCGACAACGAGTGTCGTCCACACCGGATAATCAGTTTTCAGTGTTGGTTGATTGGAACCGTCCACGTGGCGTTTCTGTGGCGGTACCGGGGKTCCAGGTAAGACACGCGGAGAGCTCCTGTAGGGGTGTGTATTACTATTACGATCACGGGTCTGCAGTTGGTTTTCTTGGCTAATGGCGATGGCGGTGACGTCGTCGTCGGCCCGTCTGCTATGCGCTTCGGTCAGGCTGGGAGGGGCCACCCCGCTCAGTGGGGCTAGTGGTCTTCGCAAGGAGAGCACGAAGGAGGTTGGCGCAAGCAGGTGTGGAGCACGAGACGGAGCGAGAGGAGTTGTGCGGGCGTGGTCATGGACGACCTCCATAGCCGCCGTCGGGTCGGGATCTTCACGGCTCCGGGGGGGGAATCTGTGCACGGCTGAGCGAGACGCAGTGAGCTGCTCGAAAAGCATGTATTGGGAACGAAGTCCGACATGGCCTAAGGTGAAACGCGGTCTGGGAGGGCGAGTTTGGTTGGTTTCACGAGAGGAGTTAGGACGGGAGGGGGAGGGGGAGGTGGTGGGCGACGTGAACAGAGGGGTCAGTAGGGAGAAGTTAGGTCGGGAACGGAGATGGAGAGTTCTCCCTAGTTGCCGGCGGCTTCATCGTCGGGGCCACGTGATGAGCGCCATGATGTGGCCTAAGTTGAAAGGCGGGTGGGGAGGACACGGGTGGGTGGTTTCAGAAGAAGAGGAGGGGGTGGTGGGCGGTGTGAACAGAAGGGGCAGTGGGCAAGAGGCAGGACGAGGACGGAGACGGGGATGTCTGCTCAGCCGCCGCCGGAATCGTCATCGGGGCCGCGTGGTGAGCGGAGCGATGGTGGGAAGATGGCAGGAAGGGGAAGAAGAGGGTCAGAGAGAACGTTGCGAGACGGAAAGGGGAAGGTCGTTTGGGAAGGCGAAGGGAGCAGAAGAGGAGAAGAGGCAGGTGGTGATGCGAAGCAGCAGGGGCGGCAGGGTGGGTGCAGTAACGGGGAGCAGCAGGAGGAGAGGAGAGGAGATGGTCATAACTGCGAAGAGAGGTGCTCCTGCAATCGCCCCCTTAGTCTTGTCTCCCGCGGGAATCATGGATATCAATACGGTGCTGCTTCAGAACCGTATTGTGTTCGTCGGCTCGCCAGTGGATTCTAGGGTTGCGCAGCGTGTCATCTCGCAATTGATGACTCTGGCGGCGATTGACGAGAAGAAGGACATCAAAATGTACATAAATAGTCCAGGTGGCAGCATCTACTCCATCCTTGCGGTGTACGACTGCATGTCGTTTATTAAACCGGACGTAAGTACGATCTGCATGGGGATAGCTGCTAGTCAATCGGCGTTATTATTGGCGGGAGGGACGAAGGGAAAGCGATTTGCCATGCCGAATGCCAGGATTATGATTCATCAGCCGCAAGGGGGATGCGGAGGAACGATCGCTGACGTCAGACGACAGGCATCAGAAGTAATGATTAGCAGAGATAAGATAGATAAGATGTACCACGCCTTCACGGGGCAATCGCTGGAGAGGATCCAAATGTACACGGATCGAGACAGGTTCTTCTCCGCCCCCGAAGCTATGGAGTTCGGTCTCATCGATGACGTCCTGCTGACCGAGTACTGACCAATTTCTCTCTCTCTCCCCCTGTCTCCCTCTCAGTCTCTCTCCTTCTCTCTTACTCTCTCTCTCTCTCTCACTCTCTCTCACTCTCCTGATGACCGAGGACTGAGCAGTCCCTCTCTCTCTCACACTCTCACACTCTCACACTCTCACACTCTCACACTCTCACATTCTCACACTCTCACACTCTTACACTCTCACACGCTCTCACTCTCACATTCTCTCACTCTCACATTCTCTCACTCTCTCTCTCTCTCAACCTCTCATTTCTTTCTTCTCTCGGAGAGAGAGTGCGAGCTACTGAGAGAGAGTGAGAGCTAGTAAGAGAGAGAGAGAGAGAGACTGTGAGAGAGAGAGGGTAGCTCTCACTGACTCTCGTTGTTTCTCTTTCCTCCTGCTGGTCGAGTATTGATTGACCTATTTCTGTTATTCCTCCTCTAAAAGTTTCTTCTCCCGAGTTATGGAGTGCGTGGCGGTCGCTACTGCAGTCCTTGAAGCCCAAGTACTGAGCGCTCTACTGCTCCTCGCGCTCATCCCAGATTGTTTGTTTATCCTCCTCTCCGTTGTCCTCTGTCTTCCACATTCTCTTTTCGTCTCTCTTCCTCCTTCCCATCGTCCCTATTGTCCTCTCTGTCTCCTTCTCGTCCTCTCTCTTTTCTCTTTCGCTCTTTTTCTCTCTCGCTCTTTTTTCGTCCTCTCTGTCTCCTTCTCGTCCACTCTCTTTTCTCTTTTGCTCTTTTTCTCTCTCTACTTCCCCGCTGCCCGTGCTGCCCTCTGCCCTCCGCGGACCTCTCCGCCGTTTTCCCCCGGCACGATTTCTCTCTTCCTCTTTTTCGCCTCCCTCCTCAACCGGTGTTCTCTCTTCCTGTCCTTCGCCTCTCCTCAGTAGTCATCCTCTCTCCCTTGTATGCTCCTGAACTGCGTGTTACCCCTCTCTCTC